CGATCCACGGCTGCTATCACAGAATAAATAATAATTAATCGCCCCGATTTCGAATCATAATTTCAAAATAAGTTACAATAAACCTCAAGCAACTTCTATTATTATAAGTATCAACAGTCAATAATTTCGTCGGCACTATTATAAGTGCTATAAATGAATTACGATTTGATATATAAAATCTACAGGATATTTTTATAGTATAATTCGATCAAGAAAAATAGCATGCGTAAGCAAAAAAAGTAAAAGGAATTTAATAATATTTTATTAGTATATACATATAATGTATATTGAAATATATGAGATAAAAAAATCACATATAGTCCACTGTATAGACTCTTTTTTATCAAATTAATAAAATGGCTTCATCGTAACCTATAACAGTTTTGTCAACGAATTCTTTAAAAAAAGGTCCTTTTTAACCTGAACATACTAGCAATTCACGAACACACATTTCCTTTCAATTTGAATCGTAATATAATTGTATCAAAAAATCTAGAAAAAAGGAACTACTTCTCCCAATTTGTCAAAATAACGGGATAATATAGGCCAAACGGAACTATATTTTTGCAGGCCACATTTTTTCTCTATTTTCTGTTCTAATAATTTTATCAAGCAAATGGGTATTCATCAGATAGTAGTAATTCATAATATAAAATTATATTTAATGAGAAAACGCCCCATTTTGACAATTTCCTTTAATAAAAAAGTGTAGGTTATGATGAAATGAAGCCAATCACAACGTTTTAGGTGGATTTTAATATTTAAAAAAAAACTGATATAAACGGATACTTTACTACGCACTACGAGTTTCTCTTTTGAATTTGTTAGTTATTTTTATTTTTTTATTATTATTTTATAGCATGCCCAAAGACATTATTTATTGGAGCGAGGTAGCTCAGTGGATGAATAAGTTAAGTGAATCCAAAGCTTAAATTCTCAGGTTCGAGTCGGGCTGAGGACTAGTAATTTTTCATTAGCCGTGGATCGATCCTGTGATAGCGAGACCCTCCTGGAGCACATCTAGCTTCTGCAAAGTGGAGAATCTTAATCAAATTAATTAATTAATTAAGAGAGAAAAATCTGTGGTTGAGCGTGATCACACCTCAATTACCTCGCTGCACATCCGTTGGTTTTGTAGTGGTGTAGGTTTTTTTTTTTTAATATGCACAATTCTTTTTTACTTTCACTTACGTATATATGAATATATAGTAAGGGTGAGTATTACGATCGAGAAAATGTTTGAATCTGAGTTTTCAACGGAAATACACGTTTTGGGGTACCCTGAGTCCAAATAACCAAGCCCCGAAAAATCCTACGAAACTGATTTTACGTATTTAAGATAGGTATATTTGTTTGATGTTGCAGCAACTTTTTTATTAAAATCGGCTAACCGGAAGTCACAGTTTATATCAACGCTGAAACACATTTTCACAATTTTCTCAACACCTCTAACGATTTTGATTAAACTCGATGTATCATTGTATAATTAAGTGGTCTTTAATATCAATCAGATCTTATCTCCAATGTTCATATACGTCTTCCTCTAAAGTACCTTTAATACGGTTTATTTTAAAAACTTAATCATTTCAAATTACTCAGAGTTACGAAAAAATGCTAAATATAACTTTTGAAGGAATTTGATAAGTTAATTAAAGAGAAAAAATTTAAATTTCATATCCAGGTCGAAAACCAAAAACCTGAGTTGCTATAATGAATGTAGCGCCTACATGAATGTTTAAATCCACCGCTTAAAATTCACTTCAAAAATTTTGTAATAGCCCATCATTGCCAGAAAATAATTTCTATTACAAGTAGAGCGGTAAGTGAAAGTTGTGTTGCGCGCACGAGATTTTTCTCCATGTATTGCTACTTATCAGCTGTTCAATATAAACTTCCTTAGCTGTGTTAATAGAACATTATCTTTCCTTTAGTATGATTTGGATGGCTTCCTGAGATGTTAATAGCAATTTTTTTTCTTCTCCTATTTGTTTTTTCTTTCTGCGAAATTGTACTCTCGTTTTTTCTGCCTTGATGACGTGTATGTTAAGGAATCATGGCTATATGATTTGGACTTTTCCATTTTCATTACACGGAATCGATAGTTTTACAACACTCGTTAACGTTTAAGAAAAAATTAAAAAGTATGTGATTTTTTACATGTTGTTGACATGCGGGAGGAGCTAATAACATATTTACTACATCTCAAATATAAAACTCCAATCAAAGCCGCTGGAGAGAATATTGGCACCATGACGCTCAGCCAATCGCCGCGCTCCTCGGTCACTGACGAACCGTTATTTACCTTCTCTCCAGTCAGGCTTCCAGTTCGTCGAACGCTGGAAATTTCCAATTATATCGAATCTTTGAACCCCCGCTATATACCCCTCGTCGATTCGTCTCTTTTAATAAACAAACGGAGGCTGCCCAACTTAACCTGCTTTAATTAAGTTGGATTCCTGGAGCGGTCCCTAATGAATCTGGTCCCGCTGGCCGACCTTATTTTTAAATATTTATTTCGAATAGAAAAAAAAAAGAAGAAAAAATATATATAAAAGAGGAAGAAACTGCTTGTTTATTTCGTTATTTCTGATTCTGTAGTCCATTGAAGAAATTTGCACATTATTTAAAAATAAATATTTTCATATTGGATATTTAACAGTTGACAGTTGCATTATAAAGGAAGGAGATGGTTTGGGGTGGCGGTCATAAACAGGCTAAATAGTGGCAAAACTATTTTATTAAAACCCAACATTTCAACCCTACTTAACAGGTCTTCTTCGAGGCTAGAACGGACAAGATACAAAAAGATAGAGAATTACTGAAGCAAATATATGGTAATTGGTATTGTTACCATCCATTTCCTTTAGTTTAGGATCTTTTTACTTAGCTTACTCTGTTTATATTTTAATATGCTTACTGTTTATATTTTAATAAGCTTATTCGCATTGTTTTATAATTTTTTGTTTAAATATTATGTAACTTCCACAATTCTCTATCTTTTTGTATCTTGTCAGTTCTAGTCCTGAAGAAGACTTGCAAAGTTGGGTCGAAACGTTGGCTTTTAATAAAATAGTTTTTCCACTATTTAGCCTATTTATGACCGCCACCCCGGACCATCTCCTTCCTTTATAAATATTTTCAAATTTTATTTTCTAAATTAAGGTGGAAAAACATGCCGAAATCAAAGTTTAAAACAAAATTTATCACAAGTTTATTAGGGAAAGAATTTAGTCTGTGGTACACTTCCTTTTCATTAAATTATTAACATCCGTTAAAAACTTCAGGAATAGTTTCATCGCATCGTTATCTAAATATTTTTTTAAAAGGAAATTATCTGAATTGAGGCGTTTCCAATCTGGAGATCGGAAAATATTGTCTATTTAATAAGGCTCATGAACACCCGTTTGTTTTCCACTTTAATCGTAAGATAATTTGATCACAAATACGAAAAAAAAAAAACGTGACTTACGAAAATATTGTGCCGTTAGGCGTGAACACCACCTCCAACATGTCAAAATAATGAGGTTATATATTGGGTTGGCTAATAAGTCCTATATCTCTGAATTTTTGATATATGTTAACTTTCAAATGAGGTTTTGTTAATTTCGAACCTCTTTATCCATACAAAATCATCGTCAAGTTCATGAAAGCGACATAAACCCTATAATTTATAAAACATACGAAGTACAAAGTTCTTAATAATTTTAAGTCACCGGAAAGTCACTTTATGATTTTTCGGAAATAAACCTATCATATTTCTATCTTCTATTTTATCTTATTTCCAAATGAGAACTATATTAAATTCGACAACCTCTAATATTTTTTTTAATTAAAGGCTAAACATGTTTAACTGATTATTCAGGGTTAATATTTGTTGAACATTCATCTTCTAATACTTGCTGGAAAAGTAACTTTGGAAAGCTGTCAGTGTAAACACATGTTGTAACAACTTGTTAAATTTTCTCCGTTAGTGCTAACAGTAACTTAAACATCACTTCATCAAAACATAAACTGTATTTCCATCAAAATAAAAGAACGGAACAATTTTCAACATTTCTAACTTCAACAGATATATTAATCAATAAAAACCAATCAAAAACAAAACTGAGATGCTGTATTTGTGTTGATATATTCGTTTTTTTAAATAGTTTTTAATTTCTCTAAAATAACAAGAATTGCAGTTTGTGCTAGAGCATGTAATATGAAATACAATATTTGATTGATGTAGGACCGGAACAGGATCTTTGAGTTTGGTGTATGATTTATTAGTTTACTGTTATTTTTGAAAACTATTTGTAGATGAGGGAATTTGGGAGTTAAAGCTTTTTCGATTTTTTGAGATAGGACTGGGATATATGAAATGGGTCTGTATTGGCGAATCGTGGTGGGAAATTGAGAGCAGTTTGTGGGAGACTGGCGTAAATGAGGTTTGGATTAATTTTTAATTAGATTTTTACGTTCCTAACTACACTAGGTACAGAAGGTACTACAATCGGGTCAAATTTCCGATATGCTGTTTTCGACGGTTCTATTCAGAGTCCCCTGAGTACGAAAAACAAATTTTTAGCCATTGGTCGGTCTGTCTTTCTGTGAAAAGATTTTCTCGGGAACTACTTATTTTGTAGGGTTTTTACTACTGATGCCTGTGACAGAAATTATTAGCTCCATACGCCGTTTAGCCTGTTTTGTGAAAGGTAATGAAATTCCCTACAAAACTATATAAGAATCGTTCATTTTGGACAACTATTAACGAAGTTACAGCTATTCAATTTCCAATGTAAGATTACGGGTTCATATCCTGGCGTCAGAAAGGTGTTAATGAGAGAAAAAAGATGACTAAGCTTCTCTATTTCCCCTACTTTTAACAGAAATTATTGTTTGACAATACTAAGCTATGCCAAAAAGTTTTTGATCAGGAGTATTAAAGAGTATTTAAATTTTTACACTGATCTATCTTATGCCGGTTTAATTTACTTTAGTTTATCAAATAAATCGTACTCAAATCTTTTCTTTGATCAGTTTTCTGGAAAATAAATCTACTCCAATTTTTTTTTTTTGTTTCTTCATGAACATATGTAAAGATATAAAAACTTTTCTGAAATAGGTAGGAAAGTCGTGTGAGTGGTCACACCAGATGTTTTATTATGTGGTCAGGAAAGGCGTGGGATTTCAGGATTTTGTGTAGTTTAGTTAGGTTATTGTCATGAAATTGCGGGTCATATCAGGTTTTTTGTTACACTTATTTTTTGGTGGTAAAGATATTGAGAAAATTAGTTTAGGATACCGGCGGAGTAGATAGGTTTGGTGAATCAATTGGTGAATAAGGTATTATCATTATTTCTGCAAATAAGGAGTCAAAATGTGGAACTGAACTTGAAAGAAAATGGCGGCGAAAAACCTGTTTCTCTGTAGCCTACAACACTAAAACTGCTGTAACAGTATTGATAAAATATTTTTTAAAGTATTTCCCGTGAAATAAAATTTTAACTGTAATTTTCTTTATACAACATACTTACTCGAAAAAGGACTAGAAAAGAAGTTTTCAACTTTAAATTTAACACGGCTTTTAATTTTTTGTTATAAATGGCTGTTAGGTTCAACTGGTTCAGGTAATGGAAAAGAATATACCAGAGGTGACTGTCATAACGATGTCAAAATGAAAGCGACTACTTTGAAGTGGCAGATCAAAACGACGAAGAAAGAAGTGGAAGCGAAGCGATAAAGAAGAGAGTTGTTTTGACGTTGAAGCTGCTGTTATGAAATTTACTGCCCTGATTATCCTCCGCGGCGCGAGGAAACGACACCCGGTCACGAACACAGCTCCCTCCGAGGGTGTTACCGGAATTAATACAACGATGACAAGCTCCGGATCACGCGACTTCGGCCAACATCTTCGGGTGGAGGAGTAGCGGTCTGTCGGATCTATATCTCGAGGATCGGTATCCAGAACTGTGTCAGGGCTAGAGGGAAACTGGTTGAGAGTTGAGGGAGTGTAACTTGTAAATGAGAGTGCTGGGCCGAAACGTAGGCGGGAGGATGCCATTAAGGTTGAACTATCGGATAGAGGAGGATGGCTTAGAAAAAATGTTTTCAGGGAGTTCTCTAAATATTTCAATAATAAATTTAATCCTCATTAATTAAATTTAGAGCTAAGGTTAAAATAGGTCCTCCTCAATCCCTGCTATGACATTTTTTCTTTCAATATTAATTGTTTCCAGATATGAAAAGTACGAATTAATATTTGTAAAACTACATATCGTCAGTTTGATGCAAAAAAGTTATTAAATATATTTTTTGATGGAGTTGAACTTCAGGCTAATAAGAGAAGATCAACTTGGCAAAGCAAGTAAATAAAGATAAAACCAAAACATATGATAGTAAGCCAAAAATTCTATATTTCGTGGAAAGTAGTAGCCAAAGATAGCTAGAGATAAAGAAGGCTGTTTAAGGAAGAATAAATAAATGAATAAAAACAATGTATCGACAAAGAAACGTTCTTTGCAGAATTTTCAAAACTTTTATTCTGTAACGTAATAAAACAATAACATAATCTGTGTTCGTTGGGCTTAACATTGAATTAAATTTTATTATTATTCAATTATTTTTTAGTTTTTCAATGTTAAACCTCGTTAGAATTAAAAAAAAAAAGAAAACAGGACATTCTCAAAGCATATTTTAAAAATATAGGTAAGAGAAAGTAAAAAGTTTTCATGAGTTCTGGATTTTTTTAAAGATTGACAGTCTCTTTTCTGTTTTAAGACTTTATTTGTAGGGAAGCTTTCGGTATCCAATCACCATATTCATCTCTTTTATTAATTTTATCTATTTAAAAACATAAATGATAAGAACAGTAGGACTCCACCTGGACAACCATCTAGCTTGGAATCCTCATACCAGACTGAAATGACAAGAAGCCGCTCGACTTTTCCGAATACTTCAGCACTTACTAGACAAACGCTGTAAACTTTCAATTTATTACAAAAGTCTCATATACATGACTATAATAAGGCCTATTTGGACTTAAGGAAATGAGCTATGGGGCTCCATTAAACCATCGAAGTCCTCTCGTATCCAATCCTTACAATCCAAAATCCTTCGTGAAATCCTCAATGCTCTCTACTTCGTTACAAATAAAACCATCCATAATGACCATAATGTTTCTTATGTTTCAGATCTGGCTCAATCCAGATGTCTATCCTTCCATAGTAAACTTCAGAATCATCCCAATCCTCTCGTTTCTAACCTTGCTTCCTCTTCAATTCCTGATAACCCTCCGAGGTGTCTGAAAAGAAGACGGCCCCGTGATCTCCTAATGTAGACATATCATTAGAGTGCTACCATTGTTTAGTTTCTCACAAGTGTTTTCACGTCATTATATCCATATGTTCAAATTTACTAGGTGTATTTATTTAATACAGTTGTAAATATCATTAAGACATTATAAAAAAATAAAGTATTTAACCAGACTGAGCCACATCAACATAAAACAACTAGTTAATATTTAAGCAACGTTGTTTTAAAGGTTGACTGTTCCAGCGTAAAATTCATTTACCCATTCAAACTTTGGGGATAATATATTATAGTATCGATTGGATTAAACACGTCTTTCTGGCAATTATACATGATAAAAAATTTTTCTAAAATTTGAATTGGTATGTGCGTACAATGAGTTCAAGTGTTATTTTGATAAATACTGATGATATTTAAGCATAATTTTTTATTTTAAGGGTTGTTATGAGTTTTTGATAGTGGTGCAAATATATGGATAAACTTTGCTTCACAACAGAGAAAACTAAAGGATTATTACTCCATTTGTAATTTAAGCAATCTTATAAATAACACATGGTGAGATTGTCCCTAATTTAATAAAACATTGAAATTCTACTTTGCTATATTACTTAAGGATTAAAATATGATTCTAGGCCAATGGGATTATTGAAGTCATTTTGAAGGTAATCTCTTGATAAGCCGAGAAAACTATAAAAAGGTAGCTATAATAATGCTGCAAGATGTTACTTTCAGTTTTGCAATAAATTTTTTATCCCTGACATTACGGAAGGGACTGTAGCAGTTTATATTTCATAAACATTTCACAAAATTAACTTGGGCCATAACTCTAGTTATTTGCTCGTATTATCCCGCCCGATCTTCATTTAGGTAACTCAACTTCTAGCAAATTATATTTAATATTTTATATCTATGCAAAATAGACTGGAAAGTAATTAAAAATTTAAATAAACTAAAATATAACAAGATGAGACATAGGGTAAGCCGTATGTCTAGAATCTTTATTTAACTAAAAAGATAACGATCAAAAAAATATCGCATAAATGTCCAACTCACTCTTAACAGAGTTGTAAGTAGGAAGGTATGAAACACACTGATCTCAAGAACAGTATAGAATCAACAATGATATGGATTCTAAAATTTTCTTTTAGGAACTTGACTCAAACAGTTGTCTTCAATCTAGAAAAAAAAACTGAACCTTTCAATCAACAAGCAAGCTTCTTATTTACATTTAAAGTCGAACCTATCTATCACTTGGCTCCCTGCCCATACTGGTGCCTTCATACTAATTAAAAATTATAACATATGATTTTACCAACATACTAAAACTAGTGTTGCCCAAATGCGAGACCGAAACGAGTTTTGGTCTTGCAAACTCAATCTTGGTCTTGCACAAGAGTCTCGCAACAGTCTTACATAGAGATATTACTGTATTTTTTTAGATAGGACAAACCTAACTAAGCCCAAATGAAAAATTAGAGGTGTTAAATGCAAAAGTATATTGGTTATCCGTACATATATTATTACAGTAAGGCTCGAAATCGGTTTTGTGCCAAATATAAGCTCCTGTCGTGCTCAAATATCATGAATGGGGTAACGTTGGATACAGAATTTCACGGAGGGTTAGCGAATCGTATTCTCCACTTTTGTTTTCCTTTCTAAAATAAATAAAGTCGATACAAACATTTTTCCAGGCTTCGATACCGGAGCGGTGGTAGGTTTGTAGATCGATACGGGACAAATTGGATCTTGAAGATTTTGTTGCGTACAGCAAGACCCGGATAGTTACTTCGGAACTATCGGATCCTGCGTTTTTAAGCCCAAATACGTACTATTTTCAAGATAACGCAAGGCATAGGGTTCGCATCCACACAACCTTACATTGATTGTAGTACTGTCATTGAATACATGTCTCATTTCGTCGACTTGAGGTCTCTATGATTGAGAGAGGAGTAGTTTATGTTATTTATCGATGGTGATTTTGATCGGCAAGCCATATCATCGTCAATTCTTCACCAAATCTCAAGATTGAGCCACCAATTTCGAAGGCTTCCTTCTCCTTCAGGCGGGCAAAATAGTCCAATCACACCGAAAATTCAGGCAAACAAGTTATGAAAGAAAACAAACTTTATTTGCGAATAACTAAAAAATTACACACTTTTCCCCCGTTTATGCTCGTAATTATATAAAAGATTATTTAATTCTCAACAAAAGGAAAAAAAAAATCATTGAAATTGGAGAATTTTTTAACAAAGATACGGCTTACTGAAATTTGTAATCATGTTAGTTCCAAAACAAAAATGCAGATTTAAATTAAATTTTGTTTACTTTGTCGATTATATTTATCAATAAAGTAAGATTTGATTTCTTTATCTTTTGATACGTTGCATTATTTTATTTTCTTATTAATCTGGTATTTGATAACAATATGCTGTGCGAATTTCTCGCAAGTGATGCAAGTGACGAAAATTGTCAAGTATTAGTAACTATTTTGCCTTAACTTTTATTTGAAAAATCGATTTATTTTACCAGTCCTGGTCTTGGTCTTGGGAACCGATTTTGAGAAACACTAACTAAAACAGAATATGTAACGTATTACATACTTATTATAAGCTGTGCGCAATTCACACATTGGTCATACATGTTAATGTATCCTGCACATGATAAGAACATATCTAATTCCTGTGTTTCAAAACTATGGCAACTCCATTCAAGTCAAACGAAGTCCTTAGTTTTCTTGGTAACGCATTGCTGCCTTTCGAAATCCATAAGTTTCGTATTTTGAAAAAAAAAATAACTCCAAAAATATCATATTGCTCATACGGTAGAACAAGGACTCAACCAGCACCAAAAGTGAGAAGAGATCATTAAATTTACAGAAGAAGTTTAACTTTAACCATCGTTAAATAAAACTTAGTTTACGTAAGCCAAACTGCATATCTGTGAGAAATATAATCATATTAATTTTTTAGTAAGAAAACATACTTTCTGCCTCCGTTCTAGTTTGGAAGATTAGGGAAAGTGTGAATAAAGTAATTTGAGGCTTCTATTGAGGGTCTTCTATTTCATTTTAACATGTGGTCCTCAAGTCATCCTTCTGTCAAAGTCCGAGATAGTGTATGATGTCTGTCTAAGAAATTTTTTTTTTCGACATAAATCGGAGGGCAGATATTTTTTTGAAGACCTAGTTATTTTTTTATTTATAGTGGATTAAAAGAAGTTTCCACTTCATTGTGTGACTTTTCTAAGTGATGCATAGTAAGAGCGATATTTATAGGATATTGATACGCCGATAAAGTAATCTATTTTTCAAAATACTCCCAAACCAGACTGAAAAGACTAGAAACCGCCCGACGTTTTCGACTACTGTAGCACTTACTAGACAAACGCTCTAAGCTTTCAATCAATTACGAATGACTCATATATATGACAATAATAAGACCAATTTGTAATTACGGGATCGAGCTTTGTGGCTACTACACCATCAAATCCTATCCAATTCTTACAATCCAAAATCCTTCGTAAAATCCTCAATGCTCTCTACTTTGTCACAAATAAAATCATCCATAACGACCTAATGTACCATATGCTTCCGATTTAGCTCAATCCAGACACCTATCCTTTCATAAAAAAACTTTTGAACCATCCGAACCCTCTTGTTTCCAACCTTGCTTCCTCTTCTATTCCTCATAACCATCCGAGGCCCCTGAAAAGAAAATGGCCTCGGTACCTTCTAATATAAAAATATAATGGGTAATTTCTCCTCATGTTGTACATGTCATGTTACTTATTTCATATTTACTTGTTGTATTTATCATTTAATACAGTTGTAAATTTCAATAATATAAAGAAAATGTTTCAACATTATGAA